AGAGTACATGATACGCGTATGGAAAGGAAAAATATGCGTTCTATAAAAAAAAAAACATTATATTAGCCATATACACGTTCTAAACATTTTCTGCAACAAGCAGAATCAGATTTCTTTGTAACAGGCAAAACTATTTCACTTATAAGGAGAATCAAATACGCATTAGAAAATTTAAATCTGAAACGTATTGTCTGTAATATTAAGTTTTTTTTGCCATAAACTAGCTTCTAGCTTTCAACAAATAGTATAAACTGAAAACAATTTAAGGACAAACGAACATTGTTTTGTTCTTCTATTCTACTTTTGTAGTCGTTCTGATTCATAACGGACTCAAACAACACATAGGCAACTTGTTATTTTATATTAGATAACATGGTCAGGATAGAAGAATGAAACAGAACTTCTTGTATATACTAAATAACAAAACAATGTGAGAAATCGGGGCTATATAAGATATCCGTAAGAGTATTGCGCAGAGGACGCGCGGAATTCGCGGCGATCTTACGGACTTTCAACTAACATTATGGTGACATCTTTCACAGACTTGGTTGAAAACTGATGTAAAAAATCTATCGGAGACAGGTTTGACATTATTAACTTTTACGAAAACCCATCGGTATCAGACGTTTTTCTTCATAATAGCGAGAAGTTAAAAGATGGTCTTTCCACTAAATGTTCTACTAACCAGTGGTATCAAACTAGCTTGTGAAAGAAAAATTTAGAAAGTATACGTAGAGGATATATATATACCATTATTTATTTAAAGAGGATTATACTATAGAAAATACTTTTCCTCCTGAATAACTAAACTTGATGTTGCTAGTAAATACTTACACAAAACAAATATCGAAAATGCAGATAGTATTCTTGAAGACGAAAAACCCAAGCAAAAACGACCCAATCTTTGGGTTATTTATCTAGATTCAGCATAGATAGATAATATGATAATGATGAAAAAGATAATATCATGAGTTATGAAGCAAAACGTTTTGTGTTCTCAGTGTATTGATGTATGTGCTCTATTAAGAAGCAATTTTGTTCTGGAATCGTAAAGGAATCATATCCCTTTAAATCTGTTCTATACTCGGATAAGTATTTGTGCCTGTAACTAATGGGAAGTTGGCTAACATTTGTAATCTTTCTTGGGCAAAGCATATACAATGTAAGAAGTAGTGTTCCACAGTTTCGGGATTGGGTATAAAATGTCGCTTGTATTGATTCACAGAGGATAGCATCTACCCAGATGAAAAAAAATGAACGAAATGACTAACAACAGGATTTCAGCAGACTTTTGATTATGCAAAAATGATCAGTTAACAGGCATCATTCATTGTCCTTCATCGAACCTTTAATGATGGCCTAAACACAACCGATTAACTGTGTGTTAGTAAGGCTCAGATTTGAATAACCATTAGATGACATTTTATTGACTGTTTTATGTTTATATAAATCAGGTTGTTTTCTCATAGTAAACGTAGAGTTTTGTTCTTCCTGGACTACATAAGTCATCGAAACTGGTGTTGAAGAAGTAGCTACTGGTCCTAGGGATGGCACTGATCATACCTAAGGAACCGAAAATTTGAAAAGCTATTTATTTCATGATAGTGGTCAGAAAGAAATTAGTCATGATCAACAGTCGGATCCTTGGCTATAAATAGCCAATAATTACGCAAAAATGGCCATTAAATGGTCACTATTAAATGTTTGTATTCAGCCTGTTTCTTGGTCGTTAAAAAGATGCCACTGTTAGATATTAATACGTTCCCGGTTAAAATGTCGAGAAATGGTCAAAAAGTGGCGTTAACTAGCTAAAAAATGTCATTTAAGGTACATTTTGTGGGTCGTTAATAGACAATAAATTACACCGTTTTCAACGTTCTGGGTATCCGCGAAATAGACTAAAAGATAAATTGCATTTTTACCGTGTTACAACAAAAGCACAAATGGATAGAATTAGTGGATTAGAACAAGTTTTGAAATCTTATCAAATGATATGTTCTGGATCTGTTTAAACTATTATGCACGATCAGTAAAGAGCGAAGTTTGTAGGGCATTTATGTTAAACTATTGATTAGAACTCTTCTCCCTAAACTGAGACTTGTCACTTGCATTTTAAAGTAGCTCAGAAACCTCTCCGATGAAAAATGTAGAAGGATCACGTTTTTAGTTAAATAACGAGAGTCATATTGAATCTATACCGTTCGAATATATGTGTGCTAAGGATATATTTTCTTTTTCAAAGAGATGGTTGATGCTCGCTATATACATATATACTTTTTGAAATTTTCTTTCACAAGCCACGTTGATATTACTATTTAGTAGAACCTTTAGTGAAAATATCACCCCTTATCTTGACTTCTTGCTACTATCGACCCTGATAACTCCTATGTAGAAATTGCAAAAGTTTTTCTGTGTGGTCACGCAGAAAAAAATGCAAAAACGTAAGTGGCCTAACGCAAAAAATGGTTACAAAAGCGAAATTTTTCAAAATTTCGCTTTTGTAACCATTTTTTGCGTTACGCCACTTATGTTTTTGCAGCCTTTTTTGCGTTATTCACTTGATTAAGTGGGCGAGTAGGAATTTTAGTCAATAAGTCAGACCTGCTTTCGACACGGAATTGATATTCTAGTAACTTTTAAGCCATATATTCTTGATCAAAATTCTTTTAAGATTATGCTTTCACTTCGTTCTTTTGCCAATTGTAGTTTTCGAGAAAAGCGTTTCTCGAGCAGATTTTTCTTCTGATATTTCTTTGAAATTACTATTTTTAATATCTGCTGGTTATTTTTGCAAGAAATTTTGTCATAATCTAGGTTCTTCACTTTTTTCATATCTGGTACAGATTTGATCGCTTATTTTTTTTCATTTTCAGTTGAACCCAAAGGAAAGATAAATACTTCGTCAATTGTCGATATAATGCCATATTTTCATGTAAACAAGATCTACTCAAAATTGCAGAGTAAAAACAGTTTGTTTCACTTGCTAAAAAGAAAAAATATGTCTCTTTTCTTTTTATAACGTTATGTTAGTTCATTAGTAACCTTTTTCAACAATGTTCTAGTAACTAGTACAAGATTAAAGGAAAATATAAAATCAGAAAAGTACTGGAAACTTAGAAGAATTGACAACCCAGTCCTCAGTATTTGAAAGTAGATTCGTTAAAAATCTAGATACTTCTTCTTTATGTGTTATTTTGAGTGTTCTTATCTTTAATAATAAATGAAAATAAAACTTCATAATTGATATTGTAGTTGGATTAAGCTTTAGTGAATATAATGATGCGAATGTCAAAGAAGAAATCGAAAGGTCTCTAGTTTGTTGATTCATCAGTATGTCACATAACGCGTTGTCACTAATAGATGACTGCGTAAAAAGAAGATAAAGAATTTCAAAGAAAAATGAGTCACTACAAGTATAAAACGGTCGGTAAATAAGAGAATTTCACTCAATATATATATATATATAAGAGCCTACCAGTAAATATCAAGGTGTAACATCTATCTTATTCTAACCCTTACTATATATATGTTTCTCATTATTTTAGATCTAATCTAGTGCAACTAATTCAATTTTAATTAGTCAAAAACATGGGACAAGCGCCTTACGATCAACATCATCATCATCATCCCCATCATCATCCCCAACAACATCACCACCATCATCCACAACCACATTTTTATCCGCCGCCACCACCGCCACATCATCATCATCATCCTGGACCGCCACATTTTCCACACGGACATCAACAGCCTTTTGCGCCACAACATTTTCATCCACCACCTACCGGCTGTCCTCCACCATACCCACATCATCATCATCATCATTAATAAAAACAATTTGAAAAATTTTTGTTACATTAATAATAATTGATGACTTTTGTTTCAAAAACATTTTAATTACTATTTGTTTTCGTTTGTCTTTTATAATGTAATTTGTTTCCATGTGAATATGTGTAATATCCTAAGTAAATAAAATCTGAATATTTGTAAAAAATGTACAGATAATTAAACTTATACAGTTAAATAGAAAACAAATTTAATTATTCAATGTGAAATACGGAATGTAACAAGCTTTCTTATCGTTTATCTCCGATTTTTTGATTGTCAATTTCAAACCCACATTTTTGTCCTAGACTAATAGCTTCTTCTATCTTACAGATACTCCTCCATCTCTTGACTAAAACGAAATTGTAAGGCATAAAGGACACAGTACGATAAGAAAAGATTTGAATTATTCCAAACGGATTATATGGTTCGATAGAGCTCATCAAAGCGCATCCGAGGATATACTTGGTTTTGTTTAGAATGATGAAGATGAAGATAAATGACGGATAAATCGAGCTGAGATGATTTATGCAAACATGGCTTAACATGTATAGATACTAAAAGTTTTCATGAACACTCTCTTGGTGATAGCAAAGAAAACAGAGCAATATTCATATCC